ATATTATAAGAAACAGATTACATTCAAATTGTTACTCGTAATTATTTATCATTCCTTTTTTTCAGTATAATTTCACATAGTAAGGATTTGCAAGAAGTTGATTTGTTTGCTAATGATATTGGTGATCTTGCTGCCAGACAAATTTTAGAAGGGATACTGTGTCGTAAAGATGCTAAATTACCACAAATGGGTGTACGTTTAGGTCACCGTATTAATCAAGACACATTTGATATGGTACGTAAATTAGCATCCGGTCCAAAGAAGAAAAAGGTTAGAGGAAAGAAAAGAAAGTAGAATTTGGTTGAGAGTTGACTGTAAAACACTATATTAAATACATAAATGAAGATTGTACGCAAAGAGATTTTCCAATAAAACTACTTTTGCATTTAAACTGCCCACAGTTACTGTTATCGTTATTATCACTATTAATCTATGAGGAGATGACGATTATCTTTATTTATGTACATAATTTGGAAAGCTAATTTTAAGTGAATAAATCAGATTTATACTTTTTTTTAAAGATTCCCATTATTCTCTTCTAGACTTCGATGTCAATCTGTAAAATTTTAAAATCAAAACATTTTACAAGTAATGTAAAGAATTGCTTATATATATAAGACAATGTTGACGATCCTGGTATTGATCAATTAATACGAAGATGAATTCACGTTTTTCTTTGTTCGGCATATCACTGTGATCTGGTATGGGATTTTCATAACGAACACAACAAGGGAATATACCTTCAAGCATTATCTGCCATTCTAATTCTTTTTATACTTGGATCAGTTGATGCGACCTCATTTCGCATGTTGAGTTGCTTATTAGTCATTCACTTATATGAAGACGCGTTGCAAGCGCTAACCAAATGCGTACTTTTTATTCATACGTTTGAGTGTATATGGAGGCTGAGAGTGAAAACAATATGTAACCTTTAGTTCACTTCAACTAATAATGAATTATGATGATAAAATATACGGCGAGACTATAAATTATGGACGAACCAATCACGTCTGAGATAACAGGTCTCGCACTTTGGCGCAAAATCCACTCATTCATTCGGATAAATAGAGTTTTGGCATCATAGCTGATGTCAGTTCGTGATGAAAACCGTTAATCTAATTCTTAACTCTAACCATAAACTGTGAATCATAATCCCAACTCCTCATACGAGTTTATAACCCTCATTTGGCCCTGCTTATCAAGTGGACACTCTCAAGGTCAGTCTAGTGTCACCCAAAGGTCGTCCATAAATTTGAGTCCCACTAAATATACTCATACAACCCATGCTGATTTTCATACATATTTTTATGAACTAACACCCTAATATAACAGTATACCAAGAGTTAAAGTATAATACATTAATTGAAGTGTTTTATTCCATATATGCTTATCCGCACACAAATAATGAATGAAAACTATGATTACTCGAGAAAAGTACTAGTTGGTAGATAAGAATGACAGAATAATCACATGCTGTTTTATTTAAAACTGCCCAAAAGTTAAAGATGGGTGTTGTGATCAGTTATTACAGTTTTTCAGAAGAGTTATTATCATAATTAGAACCATTTGAATCAATGTAATAGCTAAGGATTTTCGAAATAGTGCACGTTGAAGCAGGTAGAGCTAGATGAGCACAAATGAACGTGTTATATTTCGAATTCGTGATCGGTGGGCAACCAATACATAAGAATCATCAGTTCATACAAATACCATAATCATTCACCAAATTAAGATACTAATTTGAAAAAGCAGGAAGGTGTTGTGATCAACAATTCTTTCTGTAAAGTAAGATGAAGCTATTAGGCTTAGAATATGGACAACATAGACCCTAGCTCTTTGCACATTTCTCACAGATAAATGTCCAATTTGTAGAGTAATTTCTCTTAGAGCGAGTTTTTCCTGAGGTTTATGATGTACAAGGAATTTAATAAATTTTTAAATCGTAATCAAATACCATATTTCCTTCAGCTTCTGTGACATCATTTGGTGCTCAAGTGCATTAACTGCGCATGAGCACCGTTTATTATTCAGCTATGTACTTTCGTTTAGTTGCCACAAGCTGAATATTCTCATACTTTTGAAGTATTCTTCTTATGTTTTATCGATTGTACACTTGACCGTACAATATAACAGTGCTGCGAATATTTTAAGTCTTGATTCATTCCGTGGGATTATTAGTCCTATTTTTCTCGAAACACTGGAATTTATGATAGAAGAAAAGGTATATGGACGAACTAGTAAGTGTTTAGCGTAAAATATGTTCATCAAGATGGCTGCAAAGTATTTTTCAATTGTATGCGATATCAGTTCTCTATTGAAACCCCGAAAATTCATAAGTAGAGGTTCATTATTCAGTCTAATAACTTTCGTTATAAGTCTTTTCACAGCATAACATGGTCCTCATTGGCTAAAAGGTAATTCAAGGTACTCCCTGTGTCTAACTATAACTGCTTTCTTTTTGTTTTCATTCACTCCGCCACGCTAAGCAGTCGGAGGTACATTGACCGCTCTAAGTGAACTCAGTTTGTAGTGTTTCCGGAGGAGGACATACTGTCGAGTGACATTCGTTTCATACTAACTGTTATTATTTTGTAATGCATTGATATAACTACCTATTATAAGGCGTAAGCCACTTATTTTTTTTCCTTTTAATTGAGTGATTATTACTCGCATATTCATATTCCCGGCACGATTTTAAAACATGATACTACAATTGATTATTTCCATTTGCTAATCAGCTAGGATTCATGTCAAATAATTTTTGCAGTTCGATCTGTTATAAATAATGAAGTTAATAAATGAGGTCCTCAGAGTTTAGTCATTATTGTAAAAATTGTACACTCCATCGACTCCAACCTGAGTTGTGGTTCAGTCGTGGCTACAGAAGTACGTGTTGGGGAGATTCGCACAATTCACAATTTAAAATCATATTTTTTAGCAGACGTCTTTCCGATGATGGACACTCCATCCTATTTTCGTTTGTCTAGATCTATTGAATTATTAACGGAATAGTTTTTGTACAAAAGGCAACGCTTTTATCTACTGACATCTCCCTGCCGTAAGTATTTGCTTCATTTCTACTACTCAAAGTAGTATGTTCCAGGCTCAAAAGCTTACAAAGGAGGTAGGAAAATTGTAGAATGAATTTTGGCTCGTCAGGTTTAATTGCGAATTCTGGTGACAAATATAATAACGTATCCTTTGTTAAGAATAAAAGTAAAAATACACTCATTGTTGTCCAAAGTTAGTGAGTCACATGTATTCTTGCAATTTATAGCTGTCTATCTGAATTAGGAAAGTTTTACTCGGAGAGTCGTTTGAAATTAAGAAATTTCAACGCATCAGGATCCAAAACGACTCTATATTGTGAGGTTTAAAATTAAGATCAATAGGATCAGTGTCTATGAGAAAGCCATGAAGGACGAACTGTCACATCATTTGTTGAAAAAGTAACGATATAACCATTTTGTAATCCATCGTTTAATCGCAATTCAGCTTTCTAACTAAAAACATTACTTCAAAACGTTGAAGATGGACGTTTGCCAATAAATTACAAGCATCAAATTATGTCTGCTACATTTAGAAAATAAAAAGCGTGGTTTGTCTAAGGAATCATCTATCGTCTTGTTAACAACTTCCACTCCTTAGAAGGAACTCGTCGCCCCAGTAACTGAATCACTGTGTTCACCTAAATAGAAAGTCGAAATGTTTCCTGAGTAAATCTTATATTGCTCGCGGCCAAATAGTCTAAAATATCACTCCTCAGGAATTAAAGTTGGTAAATATTACCCAGCTGCTTATTTCCTCAAAAGTTAGCGTGAACACATCGAATCTGAAAAAGGAGATTGCCCAAATGCCTTCTAAAGACCTTTCAAGGTAATATGAATACGTATATCACTGGATTAGATTATCACAGTAAATTCATTGACTGGGATACACCAGGTATTGACCGAATTCTATCCAAAGGTGATGATAGGTGCATAAACACGTATCCAATGCTGATGTGTTAAATCTACATGACTAGATACCCGTATTGGAATACAAGATCTGAGGAACCATGTGATCGCCAAACAAATCACTCCATATCTGTCGGTTAATTTCAGCTCAGCTGCATAATTAATTAGCACCCCATAAATGGAAAAACTTTTAGTATGTCTTTGTTTAGTCGCCTGTTGTCTGTCAACAAACTTAATTGTTATATCGATCTATAAATATTTGTAACGTGTTATCTGATAGACGCCTTGGCAGTCTGTACTCGTTTCAGTATAATACAAATGTAACAAATCTGTTGCAGTTTCTGTATTTGTTTTTTCAATGGAATTGTTGGCGGTTCTAGTATCAGTGTCAATATTAATTGAGCTCCATGGCGAGGAGGTCTGATGCTGGTATTAATTCAATGCTAATACCATTTTGATCCAGCTGTCTTTACTCAGCCTCCTCATATTCTTATTCTGTTTATTAATACTGTCCATATCGGTTAACTTTATTAACTGAATATGGAATATGTAATGTAGTTGTTTTATATTTAATTTCACTAACGAACCAATTAGTTATTTGTGTAAATTCAACTTCAGTTCTATCATTGATTCACGTATTTCCGTCATGCGTATCAGAGAGGTGCTTCATTGAATTCAAGGGAGCACATTTCTCCTTGATATACTGAGCAAATGAAATATATTTTTTAAAAGCTCAGCTCAATCATCTGGAGGACATTTATTTATATTTATAGGCTGGTTTGTTCACATATGTTGATTCGGAACTTTCAAAAAATCTTCTTAAATTTGATATGACTATCAAAGGTAATCGACAAAAGCTGGTTACAACAATTTTGTATATCCATAACTACTTTTCTCTGCCCAACGTCTAATTACCCGTCCTACTTGCCACAACTATTGCCGTTTTTCAAGAATATTTCATTCTAAATAGCATTAAAAATATTACTAGATCTTCTATAACACAAGAACGACAGAGTTAATGATGAAATTGAATATTGGAAACCAATATGACCTCAGCGGCTTCTCTAGTTTTGGTTTCTTATGTTATCGCTATTGCTTCTCATAGCCGTAAGTTATGACTCGTTTCTTTTTAATACATACTTTTGTGAATATGAATAAGCTATTGTACTCAAGTGTTACCCCTATAGGCATAATTATAATTTTTTCGTAGAATTTCATCTTCCGTGGGTTTCCACATTTCTCAAAAATATTCAGTTCGTTGGCTTTTCTCACATAGAAATGCCTACCGAATCCAATTGATGATTGTGTTCTTTTGACAGTACGGTTGTTTTCTAATCCAACGATCTACATGATTTATGGTTGCCTATCACTGGAAAACGTACTGTGATTATACATAGACCTGAAAGTTCGTCTTTCAACCCTTATTAAAACTACAGGTTACGGCGAACTGTTATACGACTTGAAAATATCAGGTATTGTTCTGGGATTAAATCCGATTTTGATCCACTTTGTCACAAATCCTTTGAGATGATTCTTCCATCACGCGACGTCAGGGATTGACGTCACTGGCGAGATAATTATGGAATTTAGGATTGCAAATGAAATTTTTTTATTTAGTAAGAGTGCTGACGAGATCCACTCTTCCGGAGACCTTTAGTAACTTGTTCATGTTTGAGATGTGCTACTCCTCTCTATAAGTCCAAGTATTGATTAGCTCTGATCTGGATCAACGCCTCTTCAGATCATGGTGAAGGACTAGGGGAGTACATTGGTCATTCCTCTTCCTGTGGGTTCTTTGTCTACGATGTCTTAGTAACTGCACAGAGAGCTCCTCTAACTTTTCCTAAGGAGCTGTGGCAACGTGGACGTGTCTACGCACAGATAACAATACGACTGTCTTACTGCATGGCTAAAAAACGTGACGTATGAAGAAAGGACATTCGCAGTTATTAGAAACGATGTATAATAGTTCTCAGGTCATAATTCATTGAGAGCTATCACTGTCTATCATTGATATGTCATTTGATTTTTTTATAATAACCAAGAATAGACTTAGTTTATACTATAATCACCTACTGATGGCACAGATGTGTATATAACTACTGCCCTTTTTGTAACGTTTCAGAGGTGAACAGTTTTGTTGTCCAAAACAAGTTACTGTAAGTGAATCGGTTTTGGTCACCGTTTCAGCCCTATGACGAACGGATGGTTTTAGCATGAATTATTGATCTACTGAGAAGCATAGATCAGTGATAAGCTTTTAAAAAAATGACATGAGGATATGAAATAAATTCACTTACGAAATTACGAGGCAGTTCCGTTATAAGCAAAAAGTTTTTTCATAGCTGATTACGTCTTGACGTTCGTTGATCTTTTCTAGTTGGTCACGAGTACCAGTACGCACGTGAAAAATTTCTCGAAGCTCAATTTAAGACCGCGAAAACTAGTGGACACTGTATTTAACCTGTTTAAAACATCGATTGCAGATGGTAACTGCTATGCACCATTTATACTTATTCTAGCGGCTAAAAATAAGCAGTGTGTTACTGAAATAGTATGTAGTGTTGATGAGACTCCATTCCACATCCGTCTGAAACGCCTCGAGGACTCTGAAGGACAATATAACACACCCGTTGATGTAGAAACTTCAACCTGTCATGTGTTTCTTGATCCTTAACTAATGATATACTTAAAAGAGAGACCTAAAAAGGGAATCCAGTTTACAGAGATTTATAAGCTACTCGGCCCTTTCCAAATATGATAGCGAACTTCTAGTCCCGGATATAATTGCGTGTGGAAGACTCAAAGTGACGTGTTCCTGGAATATAGCATTTGTTGTAACTACCTGTTAACTAATTTGAGGTGGGAAAAATGTCAGGTTTTTCAGCTGGCTATGTACGTTTCTCAGGAAATATGTGTCCTTATCTATTAGCCTCGATCATGAATTCGTTTTTTTATATGAAGTGAATGACTGGGATATTTTTTCATAACAATATACTGCATTAAATCCTGATATGCTGTATATATTATTATTTTGTTCTATAATGTCATCTGCATACATAATTACTTAATGTAGCTAATGTATATGATGGAATCATTGAAACAGTAATTAAATGAGTTATTTCCTAATAGTTCGTAAGAATTTGAGATTTTAAATTGTAAATCATCTCCAGATTCAGTTTGAAAGTGTGTGTATACAATAGAAAGTGGTATCAATACAGTTGTTCTACTTAACTAAATGAAATCGTTGAAAAGAGCATTATTATTGAATTGTCGTTACTCTTCAATGACAATGGTTTTATTCGTTATTTCAGTCTTTTGTGCTGAAAATAGTTATGGAACTAATGATTGTTTACTTTTCTATAACATTCCTTTACAGTGCATGCGGATAATTAAAGTTCGCACTATTGCAGCTACTATATAATAGGATACACTTTGTATTTGATAATGGCACATAGTTCATGAAAATTGTTGCCCTATATTTTTAACTATCCCTTGCAAATTAGTTTAAAATTCGTCACTTTAAGTTATTGGGTGTAGGGACATTTCAGTGGTAACTGAGATCAGTATATTGTTTAAAGTAATCATGCTTTACCATCATACTATTTTCATTTAATTGTGGTAGCTAGATTACTTCTGATTATCGTTATTATGCAATAGGAATCGGTATCCCATATGTTTACTTATCATGGTAGTCTGATCTCAACAAATCTTTAATAAGGTTTGCTATTTGCTGCGTTTTCTAACGTATTATTTTTGATTAACTATGTTACCTTGTCACTAATAATCACATGTAAAATATAAACTGTATGGTAAAGTCATCTAATAAAAAAACCCAGTTTCAGACGTGCCGACAGATCAGGCATTTTTGTGAAGAATAAGTTTATTTACCACTTAATTTACTGGATAAAAAAAACTAAGTACGCAGGAAATTATTATGCGTATTGTTTGATCTTGGCATCAGCCAAAAGTTTCTGCTATATCGAAAATTCAGACATAGCTAAGTAGTGAAATTTTAGGTCTAGTGTTAATTTTTAAGGTCTTTCAGTTACCTAGGCAACTATAGAATTTTCAGAATAAGCTGACTACAAAAAACTAATGTGTAAGTTATTTAGTTACCTTAGTATAACTGTAGAGAATAAAGTTTTATCCACAACATTTTCTAGCAGACAATGATGATGCATTTTGTAAAACAATTCACAGCTAAATAAAATCAAAGAAATTTGAAAGAATTGATGTATAGGGATGTAGGAAGGTGGATTTAATTGCTTGTTGTAGACAGCAAACGTTCTAAGCACAATTGAATCAAAATATTTTTCTTTTCCCAGGTCAATTTACAGACTTAACTCATGCCAAAGCATCAAAGTGTTTGTCGAAGGCGTACTCTCTCATTTGCTGATATCACAGAAGTAAGACATTAAATATTTAAACGTGATGTGCGTTTGCTAGTGCTCTTTTTAGTAACTTTGGTAACATGGTTTTATTGATTGTATGACGTATATCATTGTTACCATATTTCGTCATTATGATTGCATGAGTGAACCTCAATATTGCTAACTCCGGTCTACATTTTTATGTCACATTCCTGTGATTTTTCTCTGTTTAATAAGTCATCCAAAGGCAACTATTTGTTTTATTTCAACTGGCTCTATAGAATTCTCAGACTCTAATTATATATTAGTGATTATATCCATATCCACCAACCTGGGTAAAGCGCCGGACATTCTCTTTTCGTCCTCTCAGTTTCGTAAAGAACACCCGCACCGCGAGAATGCAGTGAATAGGGATTTCTTGGCAGTGTCTGCATACGCATGGCCATGTGAGAGCTTTTCGAGAGGGAGAGCTGAATCTTACCACCCTCGACCTTACCAGGGCATTTGGAGGCTGATGTTTAAAGTATCCTTTTTTCAAACACTTAGTTTTTTGTTTGAACTCTGCTCAACCTATCTCAGTTTTTTCATCTTAGTATAACTAGCTATAACACCTTGAGTGTGACTTATAGCCAAGTAAACAAACCTGTACTACTACGCATAATGGTGGCTAGGCTTACATGATCCATGTTCTAAACACAGTCACTAAGCTTCACAATGTCATTAATCAATTTACAGATTCAGTCTAGTAGACTGTGACTAAACTTAGCTTAGCTAACGTGGTTTCACTATACGAAATCAAATTATTCGGACTTACGCATATTTACTTTCATATACCATTGTCATAAAATGTCATAAAATCAAGCACTACTCAGTACAGTTGCTCTTTGACTAGAAGATGGATCAGTAGGTACATATATGACAGTAGGTATATTACCTTAACGATTTGATTGAATAACTACTTAGTAGGAAGGCGACTCCCTTTTGTATTTTAAACTTTTATAAGGTTATTTATCTGTTTAGCTTGTTCTAATGCTTTTTTCACACTTAGTGCCGCAGAATCAATCGTATGAATGTAAGTGAAAATCATGATATTGATTCATCAAAATTGTTCGTCGGTAGCATGGTACGTCGTCCTTCTTTCACGCTTTTGGAAGATTACCAAAATTCATCTCATGAACTGCCTTATCTTACATTGAAAGACTCTAATTCTCATTTTAAAAGTGCCTGCGAATCCACTGAAATGAATGATTCATTGAAACCAAATTCGAATTCTCAACCTGCTTTGGATCCGTTTATTTTCGGTGTATCATTTACTGAATCAAATTCCGCCAATGCCCAACTTGATGCTATACAATTATCTAAAATGCATAATAATTCACTAGGTTCTACAAACTCACCCTCCTTAAAAGATAAGGAATATCTATTTCCTTCATCACCCTTATCCTCAACTTTGATCAAATTATATCTATCCAAGGTAACTGAATTCTCATACACATAGTTCCCTTTATCATTTTGAATTTATTTGTTTTGTCGCTGTAAAGGACGATAGCTAGTAATGCTGTTTATATAACCAAAACTTTAACATAATTTATGGTCAAGGTTATATTTATAGGGTGAGATCATATATTCACACAAATTGATCAGTAAACGGTAGCTTATGTAACATTTAATTCTTCGGAATAGATTGGATTTCTTCTATCAAGAAATTCTTTGAAAGCGTCAAAATATGTCTCAGTATTGCAGTATGTTTTAATTGGTATAGGTTAGTTTGTGGAAGTTGCTAAAATATTGTGAAACTAAGTTCCATGTCTGCTACCATTTATTAATTCCGTTTATTGATCGGCAATCTAAACCTGTACTATACTTCAATAACAATATATTAAGAGATTTTTATGTTTATGTATGATTGACATTTACAACCTTGATTTTATATCTAATTCATAATATCTATAATTATTTCTCATAATTCTTTTGTTTTTATCACCTGGTCTCAGTAACCATTTGTAGTGGATTTTAGAGGATTCTTGTAGTTGCAACTTTACAATTTACTTTTGTTACATTTCATTGATTTCTTGATATACTGTGTATAATGTTCAGTCACCTATTATACTGATTTGTAGTATCCTAGGTTTAATCATTTTAATCAAATCAATCGTTTGTTTGATGAAGTACACTAAACTTGTTAATGTAGGTTATATATTTTTATCGTAGAAGTGATCATGCGAAAGTGCTTTTATTTTTTGTCTTCCGACTAACTTTCAATTTTTCAGTGTTAGTTACAGTTCAATAACCAGTATTATTGTAGGATTAATTCGTGATTGGATGATACTAAACTGGAAGAATGACACGAAATCACTTGGAATGTGCAGTTAAACCGTGAATATTTACAGGAAACTCTCCGACTAATCTCTTACAGATCGTGCATATTAACTATCGTATATTACGTCTTACATCTTTTGTAACACAGTAAGAACAAATCTTTTCTCAATTAATAACCGAATTTACAGTAAATGTTTGAAAAGTTTAAATTTAAAGTTTCTACTTACTTTTAACAAACTAGTGATTGTTGTCAGAGTTTATTCAGTATTATTATGTTTTTCAATGCTTTTTTAATTATCAGGTCTCTTTATGCTCATCTACAGAAACAACAGAAAGTAATTTAAATTCAGATGATGAACAACTTGAATTTCATAACAATATATATCCAAATTTGATTGGTCTACCTGGATGCTTACAAACTGTATTACATTCATTAGCTTCTATGGTTATGCCTACTAGACATTTTATTAGTATGAATACAACAACTAATGAAATCAAGTCATCGAATTTAACAAGATTATCTTCATTAAATGAGAATTTTAAAATTTATCACTTAAAATGTCATCATACTGATGGAAGTGCATATAATACAGATGTAAACTATTCAAGTTGTACTGAATCTTCAAGTATATTAGATGATGTTTCAAATGGTTATTACTCAGATAATTATCTTATTGAAGCAGCTAAAAAATTGAAGAAATCTCATATGATAAATAATCATTGGCCAACTGTAAAATATAATCAGCATCAATCTAGTCAAATCTCTTTACTTTCAGGTAAATGTATTTCCACATACATTTTAATATTGTCTTTCTTAAAATTTCGATCAACTATTATGGGATATTTATTAATTTGTAATAGTTTTTTCTAAACTAACCTTATCATGACCATTAACGTCATGGTTAATTTATAGAACTTCAACTTAAGATTTTACATTCTATTGTGCTCTTGTTTTATCAGTAATTGTATAGAATCTTCATTAAATTTGTAACGAGCTTTAGGAATTTTAGTTATCTGATTATCAATATCTGTGAAGCAATGTTCTTAATATTACTCTCAAGAATATCATATATATTAACGGTGAACCTATGGAAAACAGACGTATCAATATAATAGTTAGTTAATTTAATTCAATAACCAATTATGGGTTAATATCTACTCGGCTATGGGCTATATCTTTCGCATGTTCATTAATGAATGATTCTATCTAGTGGAGGAGATTGTGTGAATTTTAATTTCAGTGGTTGAAATACAAGTCTCGTAACTAGTATTCTTACGGTCTTAAAATAACTTAATACGTTCAAAATGGTTTCGTTTATTAACTTCTATAAATTGACATTATATTTTTTGTCGTATTCAGTGCTCACTGTTGATTAGTATCAGTGCTGAAAATGAGTTATTTAAGCGTTATTGTATTTCTTCTTATGTCGCTCAATCTCTTACTGGTCTTTTATAGATAGTGTTTTAAGCATTATAATATAATTCTTATCTATTTTTGCAGTATGTAATGAGTATAAGGGTGAGTCAGTGTTTATTAGCAGTTTGGTTTTTATTTTCTCTCTTTTTAGGAGGACAAATGATCGGGACAGTGTATTCGTAACTTAAGAAGGTCTTCTTACCATCGCTGATACTTTCACACAATTTCATCCTACTAATTCTACCATTGTTGTAACAAACAACTTTGGGCTGTTCTATACTCTCTAGTAAACAAGAAATAATAATCACAGGCTTTCATCAATTTCCTGTTGGTGAAAGTTTGTCATTTAGAAGCAATGTTGATATGGTGGAGAAGATTTGTAGCTCAGAAGGGTGATTTTGTTGGAATTGCGTTGTCTGACTTCAGAAGACGCAATTGCAATAAAAGAAGTAATGTTGGATAAAGAACTAAACAGTTTAAAATGGTAGTACAATAAGCATATTACCAATTAAAAAGTAATTTCTTAATCTCCACTATTAATAACAAATTCTCAACATTATATTCTTCTGATAAACTGTCGACAAATTCCAAATAGGTCATAAATCAATTTTGTTGTTACTTTTAGCAGATAAACGATAATGAACTTATGTTTAATTATGTATGGATGAGACGAATCATGAAACAATTTACATAATAGATAGTAAATCACATAATTTTAATAACTAATTTATGCGATCAGTATATTCAACTTAATCTATAAACACAATTTAAATCATCATTTGTCTCGGAAAATTTATCCAATAGAGACAAACGTAGAAAGTTTCTTTTCAGAAAAATTCATAAGAATTTATTGATCACTTTGTAGATACATAGTTAGAGAGCTAAGGAGTTCATTGAAGTACTGATGTAAATCATGGAGTCTACATCTAAATTTCATACTACGAAAGTAAATATTAGTGAATTTTATTATATCACTGGTCATTCTATCATTGTTTATTTGAATACTCCAATTTTCTAATCATTTACTTCTGCCATCCCATTCTTTATAATTTCCTTATTATTATGTTTTTTCTCACTTGTTTCAAAAAGAAAAGATAGTCTAATCACCTTGGTATGAGTAAAACAATCCAATAAATATATCATTTGTATACATTTTCAAAGATTTTTTCACCAATTATTTTTTTCTAAGCATAAGTGTTAATTATATGCTATATGTATTTTCTCTTAATTTTTCCCAAAATTATCACTTCCTAGATGGACATTCAAAGTTAAAGTCAGCATATATTCATCATGTCAACCATCATCACCATGGTAAATGTCACCATAAACTTGGTTTGACGAATGTTTATGCAGGTTTAAAATCTAATAAGGTTGGTGATACTTCTACAGTTTCCTTGAATCTACTTCAATCTCATAATAACAATTATAAGTTGTGTCTAAAGTCAAAGAATATCATCAGTAATAATGATAATAATAATAATAATAATAATAATAATAATAATACTAACAATCTGTCAGATACTGTATCAATATCTCAAGATATTAAAAGTTGTAATTTATTAGAACGTTTTTACAAATTGTACACTAATTTCCATTCAAAACTAACAGAAGATAATTTCTATTACATGGATGAAAAATCGTTAGAACGACGAGTTCGTGCACAAGCATCAAATATAATTTCACCTGTATCATTTTAACAATACATTATGTCTATGTAGATCAATGATGTTATCTGAAAAGAATTCGATTAATTCTTAAGTAATAGTATTTGTTATGCATCGTAAATTGAAACACTTTTCTTTCATAATAATGTAACATGTTTTGCACTTTTTTCTTTCAAATCTTAACAAAATGACACTTGAAAAGAGAGTTCATTTAAAATATATGTGTGTATCACCTAAAAACTAATAATGTTTATCTTACTTTGACACTGTATCTTTGATTTTACAGTTGGCCATCAACAATATATATACTATTTTTTTGTTACTTAACAGCTGATATCCCAATTCAAGTGTTTATCCGTGTTTCTCTCTCTCTCGATGTTTTTTTTCACTTTTTATGTAAGCTCATTTATATTTTGCCTGTTTTTCTTGGCTGTGGCTAGCTTTACTGTTTGCTATCCCCTATATTGATGTATATAAATTCGTATATAAGACTACGAGAGAGCATTTGTGTGATCGAGTGTTGTTAAGTGTTGATGTTCTATTTTTCTTTCCTTTACGCACATTTATATTTGTTTAAATTGTACTTTTGTAAATATATAGCACTGATATGTCTTGTTTTCTCATTTAAAAAAATAGCTTTTGTATTTGACGGAGTAAACCTTCACCTTTATGCTGTGGTGAATCTCAATTCCAGTTACTAGAACAGGGTATTTGTAGCATATTCGATCCATTAAAACGGTATTTGGATGTGTAGTTAGATATAAGCTTTACATTATCAACAAGTAAGGTGTTTCTACAAAATTAACACAAACCTATATCCATACTCGATATGAATCGGTCAACGTAGTCCGCGTGAATGCTCAGGTTGTTGCGGAACTTTTGTTATTGGTGTAGTAGATCTATGTTATCTTTAGATGAACTTGTGAAGATTTTGTATACTCTGAAGATAGTTTACACTAGAGGTTCATGACATCCGAAGAGTGAATAAAAGCCAGCAACAAGTGTTTGGCTTTAGTTATTAGTGGTTACTTCCATTCAATACGGAATAAAGCCCGAAAAATTCAGGTCTCACGGTATGATATAGCTGAATCTATCGACTGTCCCACATTTCTAATTTTGGTCAATTCATGATATAATAAGGTCTTCATACAATTGTATAAAGAATGAATTAGGTTAAAGAGATCTATTCAGTATTTGATGATTTTAATTAGTTCTCTTATATCAGTTGGTGACAAATATATTATTTTCAAGTGTAGTAATAATAATCGTTTCTCAGTGCAATAAACGGGAACGACAAATGAAAATAATGTTCTAGCACTGGTTATACAATTTATCGATTATTTGCATTCATATTTTATTTTCTTTATGTACAATAAATACACATGCTATTTTAGACTCATTGGTCTAATTAACAATTCATTGGGATAGCCCATTGTGTAATTGTATAAGATAAAAGCAGCATTAATCGTCTTGTGATGTTACCTATTGCTGAAATCATGCGCCTTAAAGCTTTCATCTCTATTTTATAGTGTAAATTTCGCTACACCTACAGGGTTAAATCACGGAAACACATGATTGTGTTTACAATAGAAAATTTGTATAAATCTACATATTTTATCTTTTATACTTGTGTCACATTTTCGACGGAACATGCCCACTGTATTGCATAGAGAAGTTTTCTTAAACATTACCTTATAGTATATAATACTTCGGTTTATTATATGTGTAAGCTTTTCATCCTGATACAACGAGGACATTTAGCAAATATGAGCTCGTTCATTGCTCAAACGACGTGAAATGATTTTCTTCAGTGTTTTCTTTTGTTAATTTGGGCGTGTTGATACTGAAAAGTGAATAATAAATTACCCAATTTTTTTGGATTTTTAGGTAAAAGAATTAGTTTTACTAACTGGTGTTTGATATTGTTCTCGAAAATTGTGGTCCTTTCTATTAGTTGATTAGACCCAAGTCTTATTGTTGCCTCACTTTAGTCTGCTTAATCTTCTGCATCCACGAACGTGAGTAAATTCATATTGTTCACAGTCTTAGTACGTATGAAGATCGTTTTTTATCTTGTAATACGATCAATAACGCATACTGCTATAGGGTCTCAGGCTGGAATCAAATAACTATCCAGTACTCTTTAGTTTTCAGTTATGCTCTTACTGGTGTTTGGTCTCATTAAAGACTATATACAGATTAGAGAGACCACAAGTTATGTAACAAACTTTATTAAACGTTTCCATCGAAATCCTGATAAATTGTATTGGCTTTGACGACATTAATTAAGGCTGTTGAATATCCTCTTATTCACTTAGTTTGGAAAATGTAGTACAAATCCAATACTTTCATCCTAAATTTTGTTAGGTTTCCCATTTCAAGGCAGGTGTGCCTACTCACTAGTTTTTATTATAATTCTTTAGTGGCATGCAATACTCAATCTAACATTTTCATTGGTACACCTGATATTTAGTTAGTGTTTATGTGAAGCACAAATTGTAGAAATTAGTCTTGTACATCAATGGATCTTAGCTTATCGGTCCAGAGTTTAAGCGTTCGTGCGTGAAATGGCCGTCCATTGCCTCTATATTGTCTAACTTTGATTAGTTCGTGATTTCAATGACATTTCATAACAGTTTAGTAGGTGGTCACTTTTTACGCAGTTTAAGATAATAGCGAATTATTTAACAGTTCACAATTACTTATCAATTGATACCGATATTTGGTTAGAATCATTTCCACTTAGATACATTTGTCTACATATTTTCTGTTCAATTCATCACACACTTTCAGTTAATTTATGAAGGGTGTGTATAATATTTGTTGAACACTTACTTGATAGGTTCGTCTGTAAGAAATGATCAAAAGAAACTAGTAAGTTTGTTAAGTTTTAATATCTATGTATGATCAAATTCTTTGAGATAAGTAGATCTTCAAAGACCTATAGTCGAATAGCTTGAAACTGCAATTTCAAACAACGGGATTTGATCAGCTTTGAGATTTAGGAAATTTATCATTGCTTACTAATCAAAGAATATCCAATGTGCAATGTGACAGATGTTTTCAAGGGACTACCATGTTTTAAGAGGAATTTTTTGGCTGATATGAGTAAAAGTTCAAATATGTAAAAAATATTTACGTGATTTTTAAATTGTTCACTCTTTCATGGGATCAGAAAACTGTCAACTTAGTAATCATTAATTCCCAAAAATATGAAGTGGAAATCAATTAAATTTTATTATTTAGTCATGTTAATCAATATTTCGAGACGACCTTACATTTAAATTTGTACTTTTAGTACCTAATATCTCTCTGTTAATCGTTTTTATTATCAACAGTTAAAAAGTTAGTAATATTCTCAAACATTTTGAATGTTTCCGTTTACTTTGAGATATATCACTTCTCCTTCTGTTACCAACGAAGTTAATCATAAAGAAAACTCAAAAAGAACTTAAGACATACGTAGATTGTTTGTAAAAAAAATATCAGTTAAATAGAGGTTACTAAATTCGTAATTAATTTAAACAGATGCGTTTTAATGGTGTGTGAATAAATGAACGAATTTTTTCCCGATTATCCAACTGCAAGATACTACTAAAATGACATTAACTATGCCAAATCTCAGAATACTTCAACTGATATAAATCACTTTGTCAGAAGAACAGTGAAAAATTAACAATGAAACAGAATACTTTTTCATATCATACATATGAGTTCACACGAAAGCGATGGTTCCTGATTATTCAGTTGTGCTCTAGCTTGTTTTAATTAGCTGTCAGGGTCACTGTAATGTTTTAAATATTGAAAAATTCATTGTGGCGGTTTAGAAAAATACTACTATACAACTTTAAACTTTATCGCGTATCTTTGCATTGGTGCGTATAAAACAAAATGATTTTCTTGGTACTATAGCCATTTGTATTAAATACATAGAAATTATAAAATCGTTTAGATGTGAAAGCTAATGAAATTCAGGGGTAAAAATGAGAGAATTTCTAGGTGAAATAATTTCTTCAAGATATATCAGTTAAACAGACGTTTAGTTAGTAAAAAAGTTTATGGAGACGTCACTTAAAGATATTCGATTGTACATTGCTGTTGTCAAATTTTAACAATGTAATGTATGTTCATTCAAATTGTACGCAAACATTTCGCCTCACTGCCTATTGGAGAAACTTATAGAAACGATTCCTTTATAATGTTCATATGGAAAAACTTGACTTAACTTCATAAAACTACTTTGAATCGCGCATTTTTAATTTGCTTCGATAAAATGTGCTATTTGATTCATGGAATCTATTGATCAGTGAAGGCGCAATCGATATAAACTTGTCTAATAATTTGTTTTTAATTTATAGTAGAATCCACAATTTCGTTACCACAGTTTACAGCTTTTTAGCACTAAATATTCTATTTCTGGAAATCAGTTGCAAGTGAATATATATGAACCGATAGTCATTAAGTTATCAGTACTCAGTCTTAGCTTCAAGGAGCATTACATTTTATCTAAGAAAATGTGCAGTACTAATGAATCATAAGAATTAATTCAGTGTGAAAATGCTGAGAGTCTTAGTTTTCACTTTTAGGCGTACACTAATAATAACGTCAAAAATATTTATGAAATGTACATCAGTTTTTAAAGAATTTGTTGAGTCATTTTTTACCGATATATTTTCCATTATGCTGAATATTAGACCCCATCGATACCGCTTCACTTAATTGCTTTGCAAGGTCTATCACCTTGTGTTTCAGTGACGTTCAGTATAGTTGCTTATCATTTGGTTTTATGTTTATACTTTTTTCAATCCCACCATAACTTTAATGACGTGTTTCCTAGATATTGTACGTAAAGTTTCCCTCATTCAGTATTTTCACTTTTACAGTTGGTTTCTTGACTGTAGTTGATGTAATAGATGTAGTATTTACTGTGGTGGGTACATATATGAAAGAGGCATCCACTTTATACAATGTTTTGTGTTGTTCAAATACTCCTGTTTATATTGTGAAAGCTTTTAGATTTGTCTTCTTTTAATCAAATCTTTCAGTCAACATAGAGTAGAATCAATTCCTAAGTGATCATCTAAACGAAAGTGCAGTTTATTAGTTTATACATTTCTTATTATTTATCGTTCACTCTCTTTTACGTTTGAATATACCTATTTTCTAGCTTACTGATCAACTATGTAAAACACACCTTTACGCAGTACCACCTTACGACATTCCTGTAGGTTCTTGTTTCATTGAGATATGATTAAATTTGCCTAAATTTCAATTTAAATGATTGTTTCGACACTAGAGTATGTTAGAGACATACCATTTAATCAGAAACTTGAGATAAACATTTCTTTATTCGAATAAATTACAAAGTTGGGGTCTAATGATATGACACTGGTGTCTCATATTCTTCTTTTGTTTTAATTAAATCTGAGACAGCAGCAATGTTGTTAATTATTTTAATAATAATAGATGGATCACTATTATACCATATAATTAACGAAATTAAAATGAATCTGATGTTTCATTCTATTACTGTTTTCAATTATATACAATACAATAAAGTATTAACATTATCAAAATGATCATATGTGCATAAATAATAATTCTAGACAAATAACATTGTCTGACAACAC